ATTCTCCCGAAGCGTAGCTTCAAATGTGACAGGGTCCGGTCGTGGAGCACGCGATGAAGACCGAGACCATGGTGTCTGGGGATTTCGACACAGGAATTGCACCACCTCCTCGACCGTCCAATCGAGAGGGTCTCCGCCAGGCTCCATTTCAACGGGCCAGCCAAGCTGGCTTTAGATATCAGCAGTGGTGGGATTCTCAAAATACTCCAGCACTCTTAAACAAGCATTTCCGGTGCCTGAGAAAGTCTCAAAACGGCCGGGTGGATATAGCATCTCCGGTGCTTGATCACTTCACCAGCCACGCATATTATCGCTAAATAGAGGAGCAAGGATAAATGAGCGAGCGGAAGAATAGCTTCCAGATAAGCAGGAAATCAAAACAAGAGCACGCGCTGAAAGCGCGCAACAACGAGGCGACGAGGCTACAGGAACAACGCGTCTAATAAGGCGGAGATAATGATTTTAGTTGTTTCTGCCGGCAGCCAAGGCGGTCGGTGATCACCCCACCAAGGAGGTGATGACCAATCTGGTTATTCAGCAGGAGAAGTATTAAAGTAGAAAAGTGGAGATGATGTGAAAATGAAGAGGAAATGAAGAATTATCTGATATAGGAACTTATCGTGACCTGTGGTTCTCTCCTGCATGAACAGACTCCGTAATGGCGAGACCCGTGCAACTCACTCCGCACGAGCCTGACGTCGGAGAGATATCGCCGTGTATGCGGAACCCGCCGATCCCTCAGACCCTTTGGATGCATCATATGGATGATGCCATGCAAATCCGGCTGGGGGTATCTCTACTATGAAGATTATCCTTGGCAGGAAGCTTCCAGGCTCACATATTCTCCGTGATGCGAAGCTGTCAGACAGCATCATCTGAACAGAGTGTGAGGCTAATGCGATCGCAAGCTTATTTTGCATGAAGAAGCATTGATTATCTCTGCCTGACTGCCTAATAAACATCAAGTAACAGTACACCGAGGGTATTCGCTTCATGTTAACTCCTTTCCGGCTGCGCGCAACAAATACTGCAAGAACAAATAAAGATTCAAATCAAAGCCAAACCAACCGCGGCAGCCATCTTGGCGCCCAACCTTATCTCGACCTCTCTCATTCGCTGTTGAACAAGACCTGAAAAACTCCTATTAACAAATGAAGAAAAAAAAAAAAAAAGAAAAGAAAAAAAAAAGAAAAGAAAAGAAAAGAAAACGAAAGGGGAGGGAAAGGGAAACAGAATAACAACGGAAGAGGAAATTAAAATACAGAACAACAAATCAACTAAAAAGCGTCAGACGGGCGCAGAAACAATCAAATTGAACGGCCTAAGACCGATATTGTGAAGCTTGTTCACGGGCCAAAAAATGGCAAATTGAAGACACAAGATTCCCCGACATTCAACTCCCGGAGGCAATGGTTGAACAAAGCGACCTGGTAAGGGTTCGGCAATGCATCCAGGGCCAGAGGCGGCTTCATCAGGAACAGCCCGCCTGTTGGCTGCCTTGCCTTGATGTCTGCACAACACGGCGCCGTGGCTGTAGTCGGGAGCTGCATCTCTTCACATGGGTTGAAGAGTGTTTGATTGCCCGACTTTCCTGACTTCAGGCCGTTGGTTGACTTTACCTCGACCTTCGTCCAATGGCCAATCGTCTCCAGGACTTGGTAACCGTCGCTCCATGGGTTTTTCGCACCCAAGGTCATGTCAAGGTCCATCGGGCACACGGTGCCAGGAAGTTCCATGTCCGGGACCTCACCCCGGAACACGGGCAGTGGCCCAGTTGGCTGGTCAAGGTGCTGTTCGGCGGGGACAAGCTTGTACAGTGGCTCGACCTGGACCGCATCAAGCATTGGCCAGTCCTCCTTGACATTCGATTCGTCCACATCAGGAACAATAGCGGTAACTGGGACGGGAAATGTGTCGGGAGCAGGCATCTCAACTGCGAACACGCTTTCACCGGGCATCATAAATTGTGTGGTTTCAGTGGTGGCAGGAATTCCGCTGCCGGTTCCATCCTGAGATGGGGCTGGTCCGACATACTGAAAGACTCGCAGAGCTTCTTTTGCTGTATTGACAAGCATCTGCTCTTGTGCCTTGGGCATCTTCTTTGGCTTCTTGGGCCCAGTAGCCCGCATACACCGCTTGCGCTTCTTGCGCTTCTCCAATGTGTAGGTAGGTGGGAGAGGGATCCGTCCGCCGGCTTCACCTAGGGCTGGACTGATCAAGCCGGGAGTAAGTCCCCGAGTGGTATTAAGGTTGGGGTCAATGCCGTGCTCCATCAAGGTCTGAATCAATTTAGACTCAAGCTCACGACTCAACTTATTGCCTGAGTCCCATGCCAACATGCCGAATGCCTGTCTGAACCGTCCGCCGCGCTGCTGCAGTGCATTGGGGGCGATGCGAAATTCGGGGCTCATGCGATCAGTGATATCGCTGAGGCGGATCCGTCTATCGAGACGCATCCAAGCTTCCACGCGAAACTCGTCAACGTCGGAGGCAATGTGATCAGGCAGGACGGGAATGTCCCGCAGGAGCTTTCCGTTAATGGGGTAGGGCATATCTGGCGGTTCGATCTTGCTCTTAGGGCCAGTGGGCTTGAGCTGATAAAGGATGTCCGGCAGATTGTCCCACGACCAGTCTTGCTGCTCAGGATGGAAAGAAGTAAAGTCGCCTGAGTCGGCTTGGGCTTGGCAGGCCTCACGGTAAGTAGATTGAACGGATTCTTGAAACGAAGCATGCACTGGTACTTGTTAGTCTCTTGATCCCAACTGCGGATGTATACTAACTCATTGCAAAGTTCTGTTTCAACATGTCCTCGAAAGTATTGGTACTTTCAGTCGAGAGAATGGCCATCGTGAAAGATGGTTATGTGTCGTCTTGATTGAGAACTTTTAGAGAAGAGATGCCTTTTCTGAAAGGCTTTGTTAGAACAGCGAAGCCTTGAAACAGCCACGCAGCTGAATGTCTTGATTGAGAACGATTTCGAGAAGGGAAGCCTTTTCCGGAAGACTGAATGAGAGAAAAGAAGCCTTGAACCGGCACGCAGTTGAGGATTGGTACTATCCACGAACGAAATCAAACGGAGAAAAGCACGAAATGACAGATAGACTGTGCACGAAGCAGATGAACTGGCTGGAGAACTCGCAAGAGGAAAAGAAGAGGAAGATGTTCGACTAAGTCGTTTGGTGTTCCGGGGGACCATTGTCTATTTAACAACATACAATTAATAGAGGGGCTGGCATAGAGCTCTACATAAGGTATGGTCCATGAGCAGAACTTCATTGTTCGAATGGAGGAGAGGAATTCACTCGGGATGCTCTGTCGAGCTCTTCGAAGTATCCTATATGATGCTTTTGGACGGCCGTTTCTACGGCCCTGACGATCGTTTTGGTCTCCGCTGAAGATGAGCGATTGAGCAGACGCAGCTCTATCCAACGGATCTAATCATGCCTACATTCGAATTATCTTTGCATACGCAATTCCGCAAAGCATATAATTTACTGAAGCCATCATTTAGCATCGTTAAGTCAATATCCCCAAAATCACATCTGACTGCGAACTACTCATGACAGATCTGACTGCGTGCCCCAGTGCACCAGCCGCCAATTAGCAGTCACTGAGTCTTATAGATCTGACTTGGCCAATCAGAATCCCGGAGGCTGGATCTACCTCTGTGACAGGGTCCACCTTGAAACCTGGGGCCCCGTAGTAACAAAGGTATCAATACATCGGTCTTTGTTCTTGGGTGGGTCCCTATTGTTGCTTCTGTGGCTCAATGGTGATTGAATGCAGCGGCTGGGTTAGGTATTGTGACTCAATACGGAATTGCTTTGTTCTGTATTGCAGGCTGGGGTGTTCGCTGTTAATGCCCTCACAAGAGGCTGGGGGTGGACAAGTTGGTGAAGCAGTTGGCTGTGAGGTGTGGTTTGGTATGTTCAGAATTGAACAATTGGATTGATGGGAGTTATATGGAGTAACACTGGGTGTGTATCAGCTTGATATGAGGTTATTGCATTGTAGCTCTAGCTGTAGCTGATCGCTCAGCCGGAGGTCTTAGGATAGAGAGCAAGCAGTATGAGGCAGTCTACAGTAGTAACCAATTTTACCATAGTAGTGATCCAAACGCCTACAAATAATATAGCTCCCATTGCAATTGGCATCATAATGTCATGAGTAGTGTAGATGGTTAGTTAGTAGGGCACCAAATGACCTAATCGGAGCCATATGCATCCCGCATCTCACAGCCAATAATCGGCCCCAGATATAGTACTTTCTCTGTAACCCGCAATCCATCATCCACCAGACAACTACATCTACTCCAAACATCCACCACCACTTCAAACCCATCTTCCAACATACACCCCTCCACACCCTCACACATCTGACAACCAAACCAGCAATGTCCACCCCCCTCCTCCGCTTAATCCAATCCGCAACCACCAAATCCCGACCCAACAATCCTCTCTACACCCTCCAAATATCCTGCCACGTAAAGCCAAACGCCTCAAACAACCGCGAAGGCATAACCTCTATCACAGCAGACAGGGTAGATGTATGCGTCGCAGCAGTACCCAGGAAAGGCGAGGCGAATGCAGCCGTGTCGCGTGTTATGGCGCAGGTGAGCACACACCTCTCTCATCCACTATTACCTAGATTCTATTTTCAATTTCATGAAACAGTTAATCATAATAATGCGAATAGATTTTCCAAGTCCCCAAATCCAACGTAGAAGTGATCCGTGGATTAAAATCCCGAGAAAAGACCCTTGCTATTTCGGAGCTGGATATCGGGAAGAACAGCGAAGATGATTATTTACGGAGGGCGCGGGGGATATTAGAGGGGGCTGTTATGCAGAAATAAATGCTTATATGCATATATATAATTTTTTTTAGTTGGTATTTAATCTATCTTCTAGCGGTGACTGTTGTTAATATCGCTCCCGCAAGCGCGACACCGCCGGCCGTGACATCACATCACGGGGATTTTTCTTTTCTCAACTTTCTCCGCCCGCATCGCATCGCATATCCCCAGTTTAATCCAAGCAATTCCTCTTTACCTACCTACTTCAGTCCTCACCCTCTACATACATACCCACATTCTCTCTCTACTACAACACCATCACCTAGAAAAAACACAATGTCAACAACAACAACCACACCCTCCAAACGCAAATCCTCCACCACAACATCATCCTCCTCCACCCCCAAAACCATCCACTTCACCTCGCGCACACCAACATGGACATACCTGAAACTCCAATTGTACGTGCCATTCCTTCTTCGCTTATACCTACGATTTGACTAATTTCGTCTAGAATAAATAACCCCCCGACCACATCCTCCACATCCACACCCCTCGACCCCCTCACAGCCCGAACCTACCTCTCCGCCGCGCTCTCCCAATTCCTCGGATTAACGGGAACAACTATCCCTATTGATATACTCAAAATATCGCCGCCATCTTCATCTACCGGAAACAAAACAGGAGGAGGAGGAAGCGGGGGGTTAGGAAGCACAGTATGGACACGCGTGCCGCGCGACGATGCGGCGGCTGTTGTAGCGGCGTTGAGTTCGTGGATTGGAGGGAGTGCGAATACATCAGGTGGTGGTGGTGGTGATGTAGGAGGAGGAGGGGGAAGCGTGGCGTGGAGGGTATGTGCGAAGGGGAATTATCTCGGGGCGTTGGTTAATGGGGGTGGGGGGGAGGTGTTCATTCCTTGATTGCTGATTTGATCTGGGTGTGGGTGTGGGTGATATTTGAGGGAATGGGGTGTTGGGTGGTGGGTGGTGGGTGGCCTCTGTTAATGCTGGGATGGGATTATCCAGGGGGGAGTATATTGAGTATACTGTGGGATAGTGTGGTGCGGGTAGTAGTATGGTGGGAAGATCTATGGTCTCAGCGATTGCGATGGAGGTCTGTTTTATGAAGGTTGTTGTCGTCTGTGGCATGCATTCTACATTATTTTCAGCCATGGCGAAGTGATGTACGATATAGCAGCTATGCATATATACCCAGTTAAGCAAGAAGTATGATATACCAAAAGATTCCCAAATATTCATTCACATCGAAAAGACCAAACCTGGTATAGTAGTAATAGTAGTAGTAACGAATGACCGACCCAACCGACCGACCAACCATACATAATATCATCCTCTTTTTATGATAAACAGAACACCAGACTCTCATGCTATTTGAACACCACCCAAAACATCAATCAAAAACAATCTACCCTCTCATCCTTGCTTTTAAACTTTTAACCCATCACCTCTGTTATATCAAACAGACTGCTTGCTGCGCATACTCCCTATCATTGTCGCGGCGTCCGACATCGCTGCGGACGGGTAGTTGGCCACTACCTTGGCCCTCAGAGCGGCGCGAATCTCTTCGACTGAGCGGTCCTTCCATTCGGGGTATCCGGATGTGCTGAGAGGGTACAGGACGAAGTTGTCCTCGCGCGTGCCGAACTCATCCAGCTTGGGCGGGGGCATGGCGGTGATGATGTCAAGCTCGACGGCGAGCTGGCGGCAGTAGGTGTCGAGGGGAAGATCGTTGACGTCGTGACCGAAGGGGTTTTCGATTTCACTGCCGATGAAGGCGAGTCCGAGGATGATGTAGGCGGCAACTGTTATATTGTTAGATTAGTGATTTCCGTGGAGTGGAGGGGATACTCACCGACGGAAGCGGGGATGGTCACCCATTCGAGAAAGTCGTACAGCTGGAAGGGCAGCACAAGAACGTAGATCCAGGCGATCTGGGCGATGGAGATGCTGTATGCGGCGGGAAGTGGAGTGTCCAGGACGCGCTCGGTGCCAGTGAGGACTTCGTTCAGGGTAGATAGGGCGGTGACTGGGAAGTTAGCGATATATTTTTGAAAGACATCGGGACCGGTACGTACTGGCTTGTCCTTGGTGAAGACTGATGTTGAGAGTATTGTTGGCGATGCACCGGTCGACATATGCGGAGAGATGGTTCAAAATCTCCAGAGGAAGATGACCCAAAGGCTTCTTGGACCGCTTGATAAGCTTTCTCGGGTTGGACTCGGCAAACGAAACGCCCAGGTATTCACCGACTGACTTCCAGGGCGTCTTTTTCGGGGGTTGAACGACTTGGCGGTCGTGAGCCTCTTTGGCAAATGTGTCGAGGTGTGCAACCAGGCCTGCTAGATCCTCGTAGCCAACATCGGGTTCGAATCGCAGTTTATGTTTGAGGGAAACGGCAAACGCCAGAATGAGATTCATGGCAGTCCTGCGTTTATCAGCATAATTAGTAATGAGAGGAAGCATGGAGCATCTTACAGTTTGGCCAGCAAGTCCTCCTTGCCCTCCTCTCCTGCGCGTTCTGCCGTGTTGACCCAAATAGTACGCGCAAGGTTGCGAGACGTCTGGTTGAGGAGCGCCCAGTATTTTCTTCCATCCGCCCATCTACAGAGTTTAGCAGCTATCCATAAGAGTCAGGCATCAGACATACCTCTCATATGCCGTCGAACTGCGGAACGACAACGCCAAACTGACCACAAAACCGGTAACCGTCAAAAGGATATCGTTGATGCCGACTGGTGAAGATTGGTCAGCGTCCAGTCACAATCTGCGAAGAAAAAGCCTACTGTTGTGGACCCATTTGGAAATGCAGGTAATGACGGTGGCCCAAGCTGCAACAAAGGTAAGAGGCAAAATCATTTTCGGCATGATACTGCCGTGCATTCGTAGAAAGATGGGCCATTTGGAGTGTCGATCGAGATCTCGCGGTCCGTGCTATACATCTATCGTTAGTCCAAGTGGTCCCTCCCAATATACCCTGATATTAACATACGAAATATCGATCAATTTCGCTGGAGTTGCGTCTTCCTAACATGAACTGTCTGTCTGTGGAACTGGCGAGATTCTCCAGAAAAGAAGGACGAGGTGTCAAGCGTCCTCGTGGCTCTTTGGGTTCATTTGCCGGGACAATAGTGGGCACATCATGGTCCGCGGTGGGTGCCAGGTGGTTATCGTGGCTCGCTTCGTCGCCCATTCTGACCTGAAAATTAATCGGTGGGTTGGGATTCGAAAGGAGAGACTGATGGTGGTTTGGGGTTAAGAACAAAGAAGGGCCTGCCTTCGGGAACGAACGTGAAAGATCAATCTGGGAATGGAGACGGGTGATAAACGAAGGAAGTAAGCAATGATTGAAAATTTACGAGAAGTGAAGATCGATGGAGAGGACGGTGCGTCAGGAGTTCACTGATGGGGATATCTACTAACTAATATCTAGTGCCAACATAAACTTATTAATCCCAGACCCAACGACTGCCACGCATTGGACATGGGGCAGCTCCATAAAACAAAGTTCAGAGTGCTGCTGCCATTGTGTAACTGACATACACTGTTCATACACTCTAAATCGTATGGCAGTATGGTATGCTGCGTGTACTGGTACCTGTACAGCCACTGGTGCTGCGTATGACTGCTGCTATTTTTTCTTCTTTTTGGGTGTCCCCGCTGCAGAATCAGGATGTACACGATACAGCGACCCCGGGTAGAGCCAATAGCGAGAGTCAACTGCCAGGAACGCTTGGCGATCCGCCCATTGGGAGCATCTGGCCAATAATGGATGCGGTCCAGACCCCCTGTTTCAGCAGTTTGGCCGCGCCACGCGGGCCAAAACGTCAGACGGCTGCTTCCGCCCCAGTTAATCCGCTGGTCTTATTCGTCTTCTTCTCGCGGCCAGGCCTTCGTGGCACCGCACGAGTCGATTTCTCTCCGTCTGGGCTTCGCTGCTGAAACAAAAGCGAACCCAGTCAAAGAATCAATTTCCACCCTGGACTTTCGGGAGATATGAAAGGTCTTTGAGTCCGCCATGGTCGTCTCTGGAGATAGGTCATTATTTCTCACTCAAGAAGATCCGATGGATTCATCTGGATCAGACTTCCACTCCCCTCGGGGATAATCAAGGCGGCACCGTCTGCGGCAGGATCGCTATCCGAGTCTTACTCCAGTGTATGCCTCGCTGCAGGAACGGCGTATTCCGTGCAATTAACCCGATACCCCTGTCGCCTTCCGCGCGGAGACACCGCATCGCCTCACAGATCGAAGATCGAAGAATTTTCGATAATCAGTCAATCTATCAACTACACGCTACTGACTCATCGGGTGCTATTCATGTGCTATTTCAGGGGGTGTATTTTCCCGAACATTAACCATGAACGCTTCAGGGTCCGATCAAAAGGGGTCAGGTCGATGGTTTGCACAACTTGTAATGCCACAGCCGAGGCTACTTGCCAAGCCAACTTTCCCCGAGCCTAGACAAATGACACCGACATTAGCAAGTCTTGACTGCTCGTATTCGAGTTCCGTTACCGTCTTGCAGGAGCGCTACCCGAATCTGTTGAACCTATCCATGATCGTAATGATTGATAACAGCGGAGGTGAAAGTGCCGTGTCACACTCTGACAGTGACTATTCCTGCAGCTAGCTTCTTCAATGTTTCATCATTTGCCCGCTCAGTCAATTGATCAGGACTAAGCGTGAAGACCAAAGCACAATGATGACCTGTGCCTCGATTAAAATCCGCTGACTATTTACATTTTGTCAACAACGAATTGCCCCGAAACAAACGCATCTCATATTTATCTTATTCTTCCAACACAATACCACGTAGTATGATAACTTCATATTGAAATTAAAAAAATATCAACAAACACAACCACATCCACGCCCTCGCCACCACTCTACCAAGACTCTCTCACAACTGGACTAGCTATGTTTACTCCATGACCAGTCCGGACTCCAACAGTAAAATCTATAGATAGCACCACTTCATCTTTCTTTCCAAAAAAACTACATCGGGCTAAAATTCTACATCTACATCTAACAACCGTATCTATTTTTGGTACCGAGCGGAAGGGAGGTGGGGAGCATTAGTTAGTCGGGAAATCGAATTTCTTCGGTTCTTCCGTCGTGACATCTCTCTAGTATCTACTCGGTGGAAATTCACAGAGCCGTTAACGGGGCTGTGCTTGCACAAAATGTTGTAGTGTGGCGTGTTGAAGAGATTCTGTGGATTTAGTATTCGGATTGAGGGCTCTATCGTGGTTATTTCGTATTTAATTTGTTCGGCTCATAATAGTTGTAGTTCGCCTGGCCAATTTGTATGAGGAATAGATTACCATGTACTTTTTAAATGTCTAGACGGGATATACAATGTCCGAAGTCACTACTATGTTCAAGTAAATGGGGAGCGGATTGGCATAGAATGTACGAAAAATATTGATGATGTATGTTTTGGATTACTACCACAATAATACTAATACAGGAAAATTGGTATTTACTGAAAAGATCTTCTTTCACAACCGATAGCTACCATCATAACATAATCAGGCGGACTCTTTAAGAGCAGGATTTCCCTTCGCTTCCACTGTTACCTTGTTGCTCTGGGGAATTATTCTAGGATTTTTATATATATGGAGACTTCATTGAACTGAAGTTGTATTATTATAACAGACCAAATCATTGTGAGTTCTTAGTAGTATAGTAGTAGTCTCTTGTATATAATCTTCACTAATGTTCTTGACAGCAACTTACCTACAAACTATTGGCAACCAACATACTAATAAATTAAGGTTATTAGCGACACCCACTACATTCATCGGATAAGTATCAATGGTCACATATAACGAAGAAAATATAATACAATGGCGGATTTGCAGCCTACTCATATTGGGTCATGCGTATCTAAATCATTATTTGTAGTAATGTATTGTCTGAGTCGCGCAATACGACTTCAACCCCTTCATTCCCCACTCGCCTCCAATTCCACTTTCCTTGCGACCGGCCAAGTAACCCTGAGGATGAGGTTTCGCAAAGCTATTCAGCCAGACAGTTCCAGATTGAATCTTTGGCGCAAGCCTCTTGCTTGCTTCCACATCCTTGGCCCAGATTGAGCATCCAAGTCCAGTCTTGGTGTCGTTGACTCTTGAGATGAGCTCTGATTCGTTACTCCATGAGAGGAGAGGCACGATAGGACCTACGTGAACCCAAGAGGGTTATTATTGATGATTGTCTTGCAAGGAGTGGGCTTACGTACCGAAAGGTTCTTCCGTGACGATTTTTGATCCATCAGGTGGTCTGTCCACGATGGTAGGATGGAAGATATACCCTGGGCCGGTGCTGGGGCCGCCCTCTAAAGCAAAATTGTATCCGTTTGCTTTGCAGTCTTTGAATATGTCATTGACGACATTGAATTGCATTTCATTTTGAACGGGTCCTAGCATGACATCCTCGTCGACGGGCCCCACTTTCCATGTCTTCACGACATCGACCAAGGCATCTCGGAACTCGTTGTAGATTGCCTCATGAACATAGAGACGCTTGCTGCCGAGGCAGAACTGTCCACTGTTGAAGAAAGCACCTAAGGCGACTTGCTGGGCTACGGCTTCGATGTCTACATCTGGGAAGATGATAGCCGGGTCGTTACCGCCCAGTTCAAGAGTGCATTCTTTCAAGGTGTTGCTTGTTGCGGCCAGGATGTGCTTGCCTGCTCTGGTTGATCCGGTGAAACTGATTTTATTGATGTCTGGGTGCAAGGTCATTTCTGGCCCGGTCGTCTCATCACCGTTAATGGCTTGGAATACACCTTGGGGTAGGATCGAAATGGCTAGTTCGGCTACCTTGAGGATACTGTAGGGGGTGTAAGGGGATGGTTTGACAATCACGGTATTGCCTGCGGCGAGGGCTGCGGCAACTTTGGCCATGGCAAGAACTAATGGATAAGTTCCAGGGGACAATAGCCCCGATGACTCCGAGGGGTAGGTAATTCAGTGTTAGCTTGAGGGAGGCGTCTTCATGAATAACCTCTTCGGATGGAAGTTTGACATTTGCTATGAAGGACGATTAACCAGTGGTCTATGTAGGCGTAAGGGTTCAACGTACCGAAGTAATCCAGAAAGCCACATGCGTGATCAACTTCGAGGGTTGCTTGCATTCTCTGGTATAGGGTGTGAGCACGACCTACTGTCTCGAGGAGCTAATCTTACTGGTTTGCCTGCTTCTTTCATAAGCAACTCAGCCATATCTTCTTTACTCGACAGAAGAGAATCTCTTAATTGAGCAATGGCAGCTTGACGATCGGACCCTGATACGGCTGACCAGGAGGTAAACGCCTTCTGCGCAGAGGTGATAGCATCTTGGAGATCATCCCTCGATGCAATGGGAACATTCCAAAGTTTCTGGCAATTGGATGGATTGATGCTCTGGTGTACTCGTGAAGAGTCTCTGGTTTTGCCATCAATGACATTTGAGAAAGTGCTGAAAAGATATCGTGCTCTTGCAGACGAACATAGTCGTTTCTTAGCTATGCTACGCTGCGCGGGAGAGAATAGTGGTCGAACCATGATGAGAGAGGCTGTTGGACTGAAAAGCAGAAATATTTTGAGCCACTGAATCCGACAGCTTAATTGACTGCCGCTACTCGCCCTTCTAGCACCACACGTAATATGCAATTCTTTAAGCCGAGGTCAATTCCATTGTCAGTAAGGGATGTCATGATGTGTTCGGGATTGCATCTGTCTTAACAGCCGGCTTAGTCACCGCATTTTCTCTTTCATCTGGATGCCAAGATACCCCGGTCACATCGATGTATCAATGTCGAGGTAGAATAGAGCAATTTTGTTGCTGATCGCCCACTGGAGCAATTGACTGGTGAGTGAGCCTATGGAATCTCGTGAATCGGTAATTCCGTATATCCGGATCCACCGAAGGTTCATCCTCACCAAGCTAGCTTAGCAAATCCTATGGGTGTAGCTCTTTTTATATCTATTTCGATCATTGCTAACCATGCCAGACTGCTACTAACTACCTAGCTTTATAACTAGATTGGCAGTCTTATATATATCTCTTTCTATCATTCAGATACAGGCAGTGCATCATCATACAGATAACAGATTTCTAATGAAAATCATTCATCTTTTTCAGGTTAGAAAACCAGAGACTTCCTACCCTTTTAAAAGTATATATAGAACGGTGTATGATATGGAATGCGAAGAAACCTAATAGAGATTTCTTATACACTCACTATAAAGACAGTATGAGGTATCATGAGTAAGAAGTACTATATTCTCCTGCCGAACTTCCCTAAATATATTCTACTATGGTACTAGTAGTATCTTCTGGCAAGAATATATATAGAGAAGATTTATTATTCAACATAATCCCCGCCAATGTTACTGACTGCGAGATTCAAAGCCATGATATACTCATTTATGATCATAGAAAGATGTATTACAAGAGGTTCCTTCAGTATCAGCCAGAATGTAACCACCCAACCATCCGGCCACCTGGCGTAGCCTATGTCGCGAGACTTATAACGACATGGATTTGAGACTAACGATTTAAAGGAATTAACGTAGCCACTCGGATATTATCAATTAATCGGCAAATACTGTGGGTACCAAGCTGAGGTGTATCATGAGCTACAGTCAGATTTCAAGGCTCTGAATCTACAGTAAATGTATTCAGTAGGGGTGGGTAGATAAGGTAGTATAATTAAGCACCTTGGCTACCATGAAATAAGATATAGACACTCGGATTCCACATGCTGGTTACAATCGGGCTTATATGTTATTACTAACCAGTAATCAGAACACAAATAATCTAGAAAAACAAAAGTAAAGACTTTGATGGCTACATCTGAGCGATAGCCACAAAGCCATCTGACTAACCCGCTAACTCAACTGAACTTAGCAAATGTTGAAAGTACCCAGTCTTCCGTAACATTATGTAGCTATAGCCATCACTTGCAAGATACAATATAGCCATTGACCTATGGCGTAACTGCATACCCTCTGGAGTTTACTCCATGGCTGAATTACTTAGTCGAGTGGAGTTATACACAATTCGTAAACGTCATTCATCTATGAAATAATCTAGTAGAGATTATATGTAGGCTGAGTTGTGCAAAATTGTCGAGACTTCATTCATCATACCATGTTAGTGTGTGGAAACTGCTGCTAATATCACTGCGTGTGATGTGGCGTGGGTGCTACTAGCTTCGTTTTTTGAGGTGCAATTAGAGATTGCGTATTAGATTAATTAAAAGCTCAGCTACTACAGAGAATGGAAAATACACCGAGAAGAAGATAAAAGGAATATCAAAAATGGTTTGACAATGCTACGAAGTGACTCATCAGAGGGTTTAATAGTATTATCCAAGAAATTTAGGCTAATCGGGACAATACCGAACTACTATAACAGCAGTAGCCCTCAAATAAAATGGTAAGCCACAATCCCACAACCGAAACCCATCCAGTCCTTAGTCCTCCAGGCAGACAACATTCCACCCAAAACAAAGGCAAGAAAGGTACTCCGTAAAAAGACCCATTCCCACTCCCTCGGCAAACATCCGTCATACCAAGAGCTATAATGTCCCACCTTATACCCAAAGAGATACCTCAATGCCGAAGCTAAGCTACAAACCCACAAGCATCTCCGACAGTGACTCTCCCAGCTGAGACAGAGCTGAGCTGAGCTGATATGTCGATCCAACTCCACATAAATCCTAGCCCAAATCTCAAGCTCAGGACTCAGGAAAATGTCTCCTAGCTTGGGATCGACAGCTCGAGCTCGAGCTCGAGCTCCAGCTCCAGCTCCAGCTCGGCAGTTCTGTAATATCACATGCTTTATTGGTGTGTTTCAGCCTATATGGAGCTTTGTGCTGGTCTGTGTGGGTGCGTTGTAACTGCTGTTGAAGATCGCAGGATGAGGGGCTGTTTCGTGGGTGGCTACATTTTCCGTTTGTGGAGAGGAGATGGTTGGGGATAGAAACCAAGGAAGTTAGAGGGCGTTTGAAAAGATCTGGTGGAGATATGATTATGAGGTAGTAGGTGAGTTTGGGGAGGCTATCTATCTGGGAGTCAGTGCTTGTTGATCAATGAATCATGACTTCTTGCTTGCTGCTGAGAGTATTTCATGTTCATGGGTCAGCGCAGAGATTGCAGTGACCATGATAGCAGGCTAAAGGGAATAAGTGTATAACCAAGGAGCTAGATGACGATCATATGACCAGAGTAAAAACCACGGCACCACGATCAATAGCTCTGCTTTTACCCTACAACCCAGCAAGCCACGTCACACCAGATCCGCACATCAGCCTGCCACGAATTGGCACAGTGAATAGTCTCCGTCGATCGATATCAAACCGGCCACATGTGGCCATAGGCAGAGTTCGAATAGCAAGCATACATTATCTAGAAGAAGTAAGCGTTTGTAGTGTCAGACACTATATACGACGGCGCTCCTTGGTAAAATAAACAGGGTCTTGACATCTTGGCAGGGCACAGGCTGTATGTCCCCCATTGTCCCGATAAGGTTCGGGTCCGAAAACGGGATGCCGTTGAGGATCCGACCCAATTTTGAGAACCGCTCCTTCAAGAACCGAAATAGGCAAGAGTACATAATCTACCCCTCGTTCGGAATATCGGGATCTACTGACAAGGCTGTCAGTGTTAAGAGTAGGTTCAATGTGGCGAGAGTCGACTGTAAAGGCTGATATTTGGTGTCTAAGAGAGTTTTGTTGAAGTTTGTATAGAGAAGAATACCAGGATCGAAGGGTGTTGCTCTCGGATGGAAGGAGGAACTTAGAAATCCAAAGTAGATTACTGGGAAGGATATTGCAGATTGCAGATTGCAGATTGCCGGATGTTTGGTCGGTCGCGGAAGACGCCCGGATGGATCTGTAACAATATCTTGATCTCCGAGCTTTGCCTCCATCATGTTGGAAAAGCTTGTCCGAAGCAGCCAAGTCAACAGTTCTGTTGTTTCGTCCCGTCTCATCTCGTTCATGGCAAGGTGCTAGGTTTCGAAGGGGTTTGGGATTAATTTACAGTCTCTGTGATATGTTTAGCAGTGAGTCTACTGTGTAGGTTTGCAGCTGAAACATGTAGGGTGCTTCATGAATAGTGGGCCATCTGAGTATCTGAATCATGTCAGTAGCTGTGTCGCGCTGGCGAAGTAAGCCCGCAAGACTCATTTTCGAACCTGGGGATAGATGCGCGGACCCCATCTTTCAACTCAGGAGTCATGAGGAAGCAGCCTGACAGACGTAAAGCAGCTATCAGTTCTGTTCCCCGAAATGTATGGTCAAAGCGAGCCACGATGCGCACAATTTGATTTCCAACTACACTCAGGCGGCCGCAAGGATCTTCAGGTTAAACCAGACATTCGAGCCCGGCGGCGATCAACGCTGGACAGCCGGCACCATTCGCGTTAAAGTTTGCAGCTAGTCCTTTTTATGGGGCTGGGAACCACCTTAAATGCCGCCCAAACGGCGACCGACAGAACGTGGGCAAGAGAATGCATAGAAGCATATCCGCGGGTTAGACAAGGGTCTAGAAGAAAAGTCTGGGACAGAGGGAAAATTAATGAAAGATGTTCATGGATATTGAAGTTAGTTGCTTCCTGCGAGTTATTCCCGAGATATCGAGGTTGAACCATGGATAGGGACACCCAGTGTTGCCTAGATTCGTGCCCAAGGAATTCCGTCGATCCTACCAGTTTCCGGAAAACCGGGTCCGCTCTGGAACGTGATGACAAAAGTATTGACTCCATCACGAACGGGGGCTCTTGAGGACTACCCATGGCTGGTAAGGATCATCACCACCAACTCGCCCTGGTGTTGAGCTTTCTGGAATTCTGGTCCCGTTACGGGAAGATCACCCAGGAAAAGCTACTTTGGCGAGGTACCATCAGCTGGGAGATTATCACGGACTATTGGTCGCCGTCAATCCTTCTCTGATCGATTACTTAATTCAAGAATTCAAGCAAAGTTAGTCTCACTGACTTGGGCAAGGGGTGAAAAGGGAGAGGATGAAATAGGCTATTCGCTATTTAGCAGTTGAATATGGACGAAGATATGTTGAAAGTGAAAGTCAGCAGTTGATTGTTTGCCCGAACAGTTGCCGGTTAGAGTTCCGATCAGCTGTTCTCCGAGGAGCGCAGCGGCAATCCGAGCAGTATTGGCCGATATAGGCTGGATCGATGAAGACTTCAGAGTGATGACATCAATCACCAAGGAACTTGGATGATCATCGCACAATGGTCGATTCAGGAGTAGCCAGGACCGTGCAGATACCAACTCGGGCTGTTGCAGCCCACTTGCACGCACAGAGCAGACACCGATATGGGGACATGGGAGACAATAGTGGTTTGGAGTCTGGAGGTTGAACAGTGTGATCTATCTTTAAAAATTTCACAGAATTTTCTGGGTGTGAATAAAAATTGTTTTTATTTTCTTTCATCGAATTCCCACCGTATCTCGCATCATTACCCAATTGGGCCCGCCTATGACTCGTGGGCCATGCACAGTGCAGCCCTTCCCCATGTCATGCAGGACATCTCC